AAATACTGATTTAAACAGAATCCTAAGGAAAAAAGTGTATGTCAAAGATAAGCTACCTGCCTGGCGATTTTAGAAGAGACGAAGTTTACGGAGACAGATATGCATTTTGAGAGATTTTAAGAGCATGGTATAAACAAGGTCAACATATGAACTATTGAAGGACACCACAAACTAAACACTTACACTAAACATTTAATTACATTTAGTACAAAAAGGACCGAGGAATGACCGTAAATAGATTTTTCAATATGGTTGCTTTGCCCTGCTTTACCGGTAGCATCCGCCACTGACACGATTTGCAAAAGAATGTGCCGTATTATCATTGTCTAATGTCAATGATACATGTGTTCAAAATACTAATTCTGAAAAAGACAATCAGCAACACAAGAGATAGGAGAAAAGCTGTGCGTTTTCAGAAAAACATGTCTCAGAAAATGTCATATATTGCAAGTGTGTAACCAAAGCCAAAGTTGAAAGAAAATATAATTCAAAAGGTCAACGCCAGGGAATAACCAGTCTCGAATATCTACCGAAGCATATCTAAATATTCATGCCAAAACAATGAACATTTGTGTTTTGTTTTTGTATTACACCTACTATCAAAATCCTTGTGTTCGCAAAATGAGGTCATTCCGAGAGTGGTAGAATGGGGGTCAGCAAACAGGTGTCGCTTGGACGGACTGCACCGGGTCAGGACAGCAAGGGTACAGCTGACAGCGTTATGGAAGGCCGACATGCTGCTGAGACGGCAAATAAACAATGTTACATGAGAAACCGTGAACAGAATGCCCCCACACGCACTCACACGCACGCACGCACGCACGAACACACTCAAGCACACACACACACTTCACTAATAGGTCGGTAGAAACTATAAAATTGTCATAAGAAAGAAACCAGAAACCATTAAAAGCTCCCCGTAGTGCAAGCATGCAATACCAGTGGCACTTCAAGGTAAATACCATGGCACAATAAGCAGTCAAGAGCTCCGTCCTGTATCCCTTTAGTCGTTGAACAGTCCACGCGGTGCGTATGTCTATTTGGGAGTTCAACTGTTGTATCTGTGGTCATAGGTCGCAAGGAATAATTATTCAAATGATTACAAATGTAACCTTCACAAATACCGACAAAACGCCGCGACTTTGCTTCATCTATCCCGAGAAGGGGGTGCCTAAGTGTCCTATCCCTAAATATCACTATGATGTTTTATATAAGGCAGTTTATGCATTTCATATTGTTTTCTCAGTAAACCTCAGATTTCTTTTGATTTCATTTGTGAAACGGCTCATAATTGTTTGAAAGACTCATGAATGATGCAGATTATTTGTGACGCACAAAAGGAAAAGAACATGCATGTCTAGACATTATCTTGACTTTACCACAAAATGTTGAAATCGTACGCGCTGGTTGTGTAACATTTCTTGAACTCTCTTATCAAAGTGGTCCAACACCTTTGCACAACTTCCAGGAGCGAAGAGATATTTCGATGATAACGAAAAAACAGTCCATACTTATCTTTGTTTTCGTGTGTATGTACTTAATTACATATGCCTATCTTGTGAATTGTGGGGTGTTGTTTCAGACTACGACACATCACGCTGCCGGTAATTCTTACTTCACGATAAGTGATAAGGAAACAGAGACACACGCCAGGATTACCATCTGTCAGTTCTAACAGTTCTACTCGCAACCTCGTCAGTGCTGCAAGGTTAAGCATTTGGTTTTCGAACATCCAACATTTGCTTTATATTCCGTATTTTAATACTGGACCTAAGTTCGGAACCAACAGGTACATTATGTAAGGAACACATAAGTAAAATACTAATGATACAATGTACAATCAGTAGAAACAATATGACAATTGTAACCTCACCTTCCTTTCGCAAAGAGAAATGCTGGTTCCACAGCCCCGTTTGATTATATGCTTTCAACGAATGATGTCTTGCTCTTTCCACGCAGCTTTGGACAGTGTTTTATGCCATATCACATAAATTTGTGAGGAAAGCACAAAGTGATGCAGATCCTAGACGTTTACCATTTCTGTAAAACCGGATATAGTTTTGAGACAATCAGATACAGAACACAGCTCTTGATCAGGAGATTCTTGGATTCGAACCCATGATCCATTTCATTTAATGTTAAGATATATGTTTCACTCTCATCATCGTCAGATATAATAAAACCTTGCAAAATACCAGTTCTTGCATTTAAATCTCCTGCATGTATAATAGAAAGATCTTCAAATTTACAAAGTTTCTTAAGTAAACATTGCTAAAGATAATCAATACCTCTAACATCATGGATATCAGTCTTTGTTGACGTAGTTTCAGGATGTACGTAAGAAAACAAAAGTAAAGTATCACGTGGTAAACCAAAAAATACGTGATCAAGTATTATAAATATACAGTCGGTACAAGTTAAATCAACATGTTTAACGCCTTTAAGAAGTTCATATATAAAGAGCGACACCACCTCTGGTATTGTATTCACGAAAGTTTATCATAATATTGGGATTGGGGAAGTTTTTTTTTTATATCTTCTTCAGAACAGTTGCTCCAAATTTCTGTTAAACAAAACAATTCAAATGAAGAGCAAAACCCAACGAAGGAATTGTTCTTCAACTTGCGATTCAAACCGTTAACGTTCCATGACATGAGCGAAAAGTTTCTTCTTTTACCGTTACAATCCACGGCCCGGCCGAGATCCCAGCTGTAAGCGCTACGCGCGGGTCCGCCCCCACCATGACCTCCACGTGAACGAAACGCGGGACGGCCGCGGCCGCGACCTGCTCTGAATACCGTTCTATCAACCTCAACTGGCCTTTCATTTTCAAGGTCTTATGTGAATACCTTTCCATTTTCATAAATCAGTTTATCAAATCTAAGCTTACATTTCTCACCAAGTGCCTTTGAATCATCCATTATTGTTTTTAACATTTTATGCTTATTTCTAACGTTTTATGAATAGTCTTCCGAAATACTGTATGAAGTACCTTTGAGTCGTTTAGCATTTCTAAGGATAGACTATTTCGTACCATAGTCTCTTAATTTGATATTGAGAGATTTACTGTTATTCAATCTATGACAACGTTCAATTGCTATATCTGAATCACCCATTTCCAGATTGTCCTTAATGATGTTACGTACTATATCTTCACAATCTGTCCATGTCTCTGATTGTTTCTCTTTCACAACACCGTGGAATAGCAGATTATTTCTACGGCTTTGGTTTTCTATATAGTCCAGTTTGTCTGTGACTGAAGACAATGTTGATTTTAGGGTACCGTTTTCTTCCTCGAGTTTGTTACATCTCACAGACAGGGCGTTAACGTTGCTAGTAAGAGAGTTAATCGACTTTGGCAGATACATTCTTTATTTCGGATAGAAGCTTTTCAAAGTCTGAAGTTTCACATTCCTGACCCGCTGTCAACTTGAGCTGTTTCGTGTTGGTTGTACTGTTACGTGTTTCAGGTCCTGGGTTAGGTTCGACGCCAGAACGCAGCAGTAACATCGATATGATACTCAACACTTTATATGAAGTCGAAACATCATCTCGAGTGTACTTATTGTAGCTTTTGATAAATCTGCAGGGTGTTGAGGAAGGAATCCTGATGCTCTCTGGACCAGATAATACGACGGATCCGGAACAGAGAGAAATTTTTGGCAGAAGTGTATCCTAAATTCGTGACATGTAAACAAGGTCGAGGTATCCGTTTTGGGGAATGGATATGGGGTCTGGTGTTGGGTTCTGTGTGGAATGGGAACGTATTGCGGTTGAAAGTGTTGTTGATATGACCCATAATGAAGTGAGTAACATAATCGTGAACGTCACTCGGTAAGCCAGGTCTGTAAATGGCGTCCACTTTTAATTGGGGTCATAGGGTAGGATTTTTGGAGTTTTGTCCCTCTTGGTGACAAAGACATGTCTTGAAGTGGTCAGAACCTTCTTTCCTTTCTTTGACTTACAGAAACAGTTCTTGTATTTCACTGTTTTGGCTGTGGAGAGATATACACATTTAGCCACAAAAAGTTAGGGGTATTTTATAGTTATTAGTAATGACAGATTCAGCAGATTCGATAGAATTTGTATTTCTTTGTAGTGTGTCTGTGAACCCTGCCATTGAAATACCAAACGTTCTCGATCACGGGATGGGTCTTGAGACGATTAATTAGAATAGCCTTTGCTTTAATGTTGTCATCGGCTAAGCCTATTGACATGTTTTCTTTCAACTGTTTCCTTGTTTTGAGGAGTCGTACAATTCCGACAGTATAGTCGTCAGTCAAGTTTGTATTTGGGGAAGTGAAATTTTGTTATTTTTGTCATTTGAAACTTTTTCGGAACATGCGTTTAGTGTACATTGAATTGCAAAGTCGGAGAAAATTCATATATACTTCGTTGATCATTGATATACCTGAAGCTTAAGATGAATTCGGAGGAGAAATTCCGATTCATGTGCATAAAGAAACCGATCCGCAAGAAGGGGGGCACAATCGGTGCCCGTTGAGATGCCTACTTCTTGCCTAAAATGTCTTACCCCCACATTTTACATAGATTTCATCAATGATGATGTCCACCTTTTCCCATATTGTTTTCTCAGTAAACTTCAGACGACATTTGCTGTCATTTTTGACAAATTGGGCTGACCTCGAGAGATAGATATGCAATTCTATCAATGGTCACCATGTTTTGTAACAAAACCCCTATGGATCAAGGAATGAAGTTTTCCTAAGTTTTGACAGAATTGAACTTGATCCTTATCTGAGATTGTAAATGGTCAAGCAAATCCTTTGAGTTTTAGAGAATCCACATTAATAATTCCACTTCCTTATTGCATTAAAGATAATGGTTAATCTTCAAGACAGGAATTTGGTGGTACATTTGCTGTACCCAGAGATATATCTCTCTTTGTACAGAAACAAATGTTTCTAGTTCAACGCACACTGTCTTGCACAATACCTTTTATCTATTTTGAAAGTATGCCATGATTGTATTCAGGCAGATGTTACAGGCGACACGGATTCCCACGTGGGTGTGTATCAAGCCCTGCATATAATATATGTGCAGGGAAACGTGTATGTTCATTATAAGCGCTGGCAACCATGAGGCTCTTGTTCCTGTTCGTGTTCCTGCTGTTTTCGATGGTTTCCGGTAAGTTTATTTACGTCTCTGCCTTTTGAATTAGTTAAATGGTTAAATGGGATATTCACTCCATAAACTGGGACGACGTGGTGTCATCAAGTATCATTAATCTGTTGTTACTATTCGCTGGATACTGGGTCCTGGGGGTGCTTGGAGAGCCTATAGGATTTTGCTTTTGCTGAAATAATGGATCATGCAAACACGAACACTATGATTTATGAGTGTAATTGTAACATATATTTCTCGTCTAATTTAGGGCGGTGGAGTAGCCTGGTGGTTAAAGCGTTCGCTCGTCACGCCGAAGACCCGGGTCTGATTCATCACATGGGTACAATATGTGAAGCCCATTTCTGGTGTCCCTCGCCATGATATTGCTGGAATATTGCTAAAAGCGGCGTAAAACCAAACGTACTCACTCACTCATCTTATTCGTGTTATACTGAGAACATCTTTGGTGTTATGGCGACTGAAACTCGAACCCTATCAATTTCTTGCGTAACCCAGCACACCCTGTACCATCGCAAAACGTGATACAAATTTGCAAATCTCCCGAGCACTAATATATCTGTTTCTTCCTGTGAAAGCTAAATTTTAAATGCGAGGATGTTGATTTAGCAATTAGCGAGAACAAATTAGAAGAACTCATTGAATAATTTTCCAGGGAAGAATGGAACCTCAGATGTGATCGATTTCTCCCAACTATTAAACTGCAGCGATCCATCATCTATGCTCGTATTTGAACAAAAGTGTCTTGATAAATACGGCATCGCACTCAAAGTGCCATCCTTAAGCGAAATCACCAACTCGTCCGGAGCTGCAATATTGTCTTTGATAACCCCAGGTTATTTAGATGACATGTGTAGGTTAGTATGAGCAATTCATATAATAACACTTTAATAACATCAACAATCATACTGCTTCAAATGATGATTGTGAAATCATAATAATCGTGATAATTGAAATACTACCACTATGATTTTAGTGCAATGACTGCTGTTTTACGCCACAATCAAGGATGCCCCAGTATCAATGTATGAAGTCGAATATTGTCTTGGCAATCTGGTGACTGGCGTTGTTGATGCATGTCATCGAATCCCAATTGCTCATGCTGGAAATCAGCTTGCCTGATCTAGACTCAATTATTTGAAGATTGCCATCCTGAAGCTTGAATATTGCAAAACTCAATAAAATCAGACACCCCAGTAGGTTCATGTCAGAACGACCTTTCATCCCATCAATCAGCTTACTAGATCGGGAAAGTGACAGTTGGAAAATGTTTTCTGATCATGCAAACTCGAAATGGTAATACGAGATATTCCGAACGACAGTAAAGAGATGTACGACTGATACCATAAAAAGATCGTCTACGTCTCGCTTTAAAGGGTAATAAACATTTAAAACAGAAAAGAATTGTCCATAGCCCGTAGGAAGTACGTGACCTTAAATGGGATGACCTGAGAGCATTGTTTAGCGGTTGGTGTATTTCTAAGTGTGGTGCTAAACAACAAACAAACAAACAAAGTAGTATTTGACATTAATCCTGCTGTTGGGGCTATGTTTCTGCAATTGGGTATCTCTTGATTATATGATACAGAATATATGATACATTCACCTTTTTCATAACGTTGTTGCAAAACATATACGAAATTATACTCGTACATATTATTCATGTTGTCCATGTTTTAACATTGTCATTTGACGATACTTGTTTCAGGAATCTTGACAGTTATGGGAAAGCGACTGATTGTATTAATAACATAAACAGGAAGTGTTTAAACCTGACCGACACGTTGATGACGGCAGACAAGATGAAGAAAATGCAAGAATACGCCTGCGGCAACAAGGACAGTGAGTATAGCGTAATTATTAACCACTTGAATGTCGTACAGACAAATGAACTGGACACAGTTGTTTCCGGATCCTAGCCGTTATGTCAATCATAGACAATAGTAAACGCCAGAGAATAAACAGACTTGATTATCTGCTCAAACAGATTCAATTGGTCTTAAATCGCCTCTGATAATGTGACTTGTATCAGTGTTACGAAGTTTCCAACTTGAAACGCAAAGCTAATCCTAGAAATGGGTTTGTACAAGCTAAAATTGTGAAATAAGTAAATGACCAAACACGATTAATGTATTTTATTCAAAAATACAGTTTTATGTTTACAATCAAAACAGGCAGTACAATGGTCAAACAAATGGCAATAGCAGTAAGTATCAGGCCTCACAATATATTTCCGAGCACTCACGAATGTCCAGAAAATTTCAGTCGAATGTCGTTAAACAATGCTGCCTCTATTTTAGAATCAAATGGTGTTGGAATTCGGTGCTTTCAGATAGGTATCCCGTCCGTACTTGATAGGTAGATAAAATGCAAGACAGTTTGTAAAAGACCTCGAATCGCACTCTTGTCGCTCTTATATAGGTACAACCATCCTTCTAGAAACTGTCCAATCCTGAATCTTCTCGAATGCTCAAGACTGTCATGTTTGTCAACAACCAAAGGCTCTATGTCTTTGAAAGGCATTTAGATGTGATACGCATAAGGAAGAGAGGATATAGATGTCAACTTCTTTATCATGAGGAACACAACGTTTCTGAGTATATTCTTACTCCTTCATCAGGTGAATGAATGCCATGAGGCAGAGCGCATATATATGTACATGTAAGGACAACAAAATTAAAGTCCAATAACAACTTGGAAAATGAAACTGTTGGTGGTTCATGAAATGTGTAATATTCTGGAATGTTTAGGGAAATGTATGTTTGTCTAAGAATGTTACTCAAGTTTAAAGAGTCAATTCCCTTTTATGATATGAGGGATGACTTCAACCTTTCAATAGTCACCTTTTGTTGAGCAATATTCCAGCAGCCCCAGCCTTTGGTGTCGACATTTCACAACTTTAGTAGTACAATCGAGCATGCTCTTTCCTTCAAAGAACGTTATGCGACCCTTGTGCAAAATTGTTTGATCAAGGTTACAACATTCAAGGCCACATTAAAGCTTTCCAAAGCCGTCCTCTTTCCTTTCTGGTTACCATAAAAAAAATTCTGTTGTAAGCTGAGTAACTCTCCAACATATTTCTAGCCATAAAAGGGACATTGAAAGCCACAGATGCGTTTTTAGTTCGACATGACAAGTCTTCAAAACGTTTTGTGCAGGATGTATTAGATGTAAAGTTGGGTTAAATTCAGGATTAGTTATCAAAACAGGATACGTTTTGAAATTTGTGAACCACGTAAGATGTGTTCGAAAGAAAAATGTTCGACATGCTTGTCTGAAATATATTGTTTATTGATAAACCTCGATAACTCGACCTTCATAAACTGAATAAATTGTTCAAGGGGATGTACAAGTCCTTTTGGCTCTGTGAAATCAAATCACTCGAAACTACAACCAGCTCTATATATTTTGATTTACTCCAGTACTTCGAGAAATGAGGTTTCTCGGTGCACATATTCATTTTATTGATGTCAATTTGGTTTCCACCTTAGATGTTAAGAAACTTGCTACCTTTTTTAACTTTACCATAGGCATCCGTAAGAACTTATACCAGTACATAAATAAAACAGTACTGTTTTTATAACCCTTTGCTGTCTAGTTGTTTAACTATTAAGTAAGTCATTGTTCCTCAAAGAGCTCAACATGACCTGCATGGTCGAAGTGACGTCTAAAACAGTGGACTGTGCCGATGTCAGCAGTTACATAACCACCAACGATTTCCTTCACCTCAACTTTACTGAGTTGATGCACAAGATAGATTGTTTGTGAGTAACTTGTCGTCAAATACTAGTATCCTTCTTTAAAATGATACAACCCGTGTGCGTGAGTGCGTGTATTTATCTCATGACCACCATTCTAAGTCTTTATGGAAGTTCACAGGCAGGAAAACATTTGTGTAATTCACATCAGGCCTGATTAAAAGATTATTAGATTCTTGCAATCCTTTTTTTCCCAATAGTCGTACATGGTATTATAGAAAGGCTGATTGATATCCATGAACAGGTTCTTCCGATATTTACTTTTCCCAAAAACTATAAATCATCGAATCTTTGACATTCCATCATTAGCAACTAGAAGATATCAACCTCATTAAGTCTTTACATGAAATACATTACATTACAATACCAAATCCGTTGAAAGTTAATTTGATGTGTCTTGTACATGAAACAGAGCTATAACCCCTCACAATCTAATCAAAATCTTAATTATATTAAAGGTTGATTTCATTTGAATTATCTATGTCAGGTCACCACTGATGTCGTCGCTATGTGCCCGAAAGTACATGCCAGCCTGTGGCGAGGCCGCACTCCATATGTATGAAGCAAACGTGCCAAACAACACAGACTGCTCGTCATTTGCTACAGGTTCGTCACAACAGGACTGACAGACATCCTCACACACATATGATCAGTAAAACAGCAGATGGATTAAGGAGATGTAGTTGTGTGCAAAGGCTATTAATGAACATTATATTAACTCTGTTGTGTGTTGAGTAAAGTTGTAAATAATTAAATATAGTTACTAGTATATACGATCTATAGCCCAAACGTTAAACTGTACCTGTCATACTCTTAGGGATGCTGGCGACAGAACATTATATACTCAACATTTCTCAAAACCTAACTGTCATATCATTTTGGTGTTGGTTGACTGTAAAACATTCTTATTAATTTATTGTTGCAAGTGCTTTAGATCGATGCTCATGATGTCAATCGGTGGACTATCTGTTCGAGAATCGATTATTTACAGACCGCCATCATATAGCTGGAATATTCTAACAATCAACAAACAGACAGACAAACAAGCAATATATTCTGAAATAAAGAAATTCTGGTATTTGCCATGTGTATACACATTTTCTGGTCGTTTCATCAAGTAGGTTTGGGAATCATTTATAAACAAGCCTTCCTGTAAATACATGTACCATGGCATATTCCTACGACTTGATATTAATTCATTCACTTCCGTCAGGCCCAGACATCACCAGCGTGGACTGTTCCACCACTGAAAACATCCGAAGCAGCTACCATCAATGCTTATTGTACAACAGTGTATTGCTAGATGTCCCGAAGCAACTAACAAGTGAAGGCACTAGCCATTACATTATGAACGCTATGGCAATGAGTGAAAGCAAGACGATGTGCAGGTATATGTATTTTTAAGAAATCGCTTACTACCACCTCGAACTCCTGTAGTTACAAGTGTCTGTGTTCAATATTAATATAAAACATCAAAGCCCCAAAAACCAGTCTCGAGTATCCATTGGACCAAAAGGCAAGATAGCAGTTGATGGATCACGGAAAATCAGACATCGCGGGTAAGCGATTGATCAATATTAACAGTATTACAAATTTAGACATGAGACATGTGAGAAAAGTAAAGTTCTTTTTACTAATGTGCAATCTCAACCAGGATGACAGCGGTATTTTGACCGTTATATCTGAGGTTGCGCTGCTTCTCTGGCGTCTGTTATCTATCGCCGTCTTCGACATTATCCATAAACATTTTCTTGATGTTGCTTCAATTGTCGCCTGAAAGTGTACCCAGAATTTACGGCATGGTTATCCATCCGTAAAGAAGCGGAATTTCGTATGCGTACAGAAAATAGCGCATCTTCCCGAGGCAAGAGAGTTTCCACTTTTAAAGCCAGTTAACTCTCTTGCCTCGGGAAGATGAATAGCGCGGCATAGATCTTAAAGTCTCCAAAATATATTTCTACATTTTCAGGGTTCCTTTTAAAATTACGTATATAAAAACACATACATCTTTATCTTTTATGAACCAGTAACATTATTTGTCAATTGTATGTATTTACAAAACTTTAAGCATTGTGTTATTCGAATGTACATCTATTTCATGCTTCGGAAATACTTATTTTGAGAACTTTTAAAATCATTTTGCTTCCATTTACTATCTTCCGAATTTTCTTATGTAGAATTGATGCAAGCATTTTAGACATTTTAGAACATATATTACCAAACAAGCAGGTGAGCTACGTTTTTATGAGACAATACTATTGAGCATTTTTACACCAGGGACAGTTGACCGATATGAAATGATTTTCAAAAAGGGCACATTAAAGGGAACGTGAACTTATTTCAGAAGCAACTATCCCAGCATGAATTATAGAATGACTAAATAGTACATGTTACATAAACAGAATATACATAAACATACAGCGAGCTCCATAAGTTACGTTCTATATCGTACAGTAATCTGAAGAACTACCAGCTTACAGTGAACTGTGTGTAACATACACAGAATATACATAAACATACAGCGTGCTTAATAAGTTACGTTCTATATCATACAGTAATCTGAAGAACTACCAGCTGGAAGTGAACTGTGTGTAACATACACAGAATATACATAAACATACAGCGTGCTTCATAAGTTACGTTCTATATCATACAGTAATCTGAAGAACTACCAGCTGGCAGTGAACTGTACTCTGTGGGTACAGGAGCAGTGCAGTGACCACGTGACAAAGCCGATGGTGGCCGACTCCCAGACAGTGCAGGACGGCTTGGCTAAACTCTGCGGCCACATCCAGGGTAAGATATACGGCAAAATGTCCATCCGTTATTTATACGTGTATGTCTTTGTTGAGACTCGAGACGCACACAACATTAAAGTTCCATAATTATACTTGTGTAGAGGTTGGCATTTTCATTTTTTTTTAAACCCGGTGAGATTTGAAAGTCATTTTGAAAGTATACAGTGCATGGATACAATATATTTATTTTATTTCAAACTAGTATATACTAATTTAAATCCGGGATATAGAGTCATACATGTCTTCGATTTTTAGACGTGTTGAAGGTGGAATTTTTAAAACGGCGATATTTAAATTTAAAAAGGAAGAACTATGTATAATTTAGAAAAGGCATTCTTTTTTATTTAATTCAAAGTTGTATGGTATTTTTATTTAAGAATGATATAGTGAGTCTTTCTTATAATTGTCTGTTCCTAGATTTCGACACTCAGTGCGTACAGAATGCACCTAAAGCAGTTTGCGGCAGTGGCCATGGACTCCAAGCTTTGGATTCAACTAGCCCAAGACACCTGTGCGCGTAAGTAAATTTCATCAGAGATCTTTCGGTTTGAAGACACCATGACGGTCTGAAGAATGCTTAGTACCTTATTAAATATTTCTATGTTAGATCAATGGTGTATTCACGTGGATAATAGGTAAAGAAGTTGCATGCATGTATTGAGCTGCAAACAATATAGCAGGCTCTACCGTGTTTACAACCCACGGTGTCACTGGTAGTCCAAAAGGATATCACAGTATGACTGAACGCAACTTTAATCAGGCTGAACTCAGTAATATTCCATCTAGATGCATTAACCGGGGACCTATCAATAGTCGTGGTCAGTCAGACCAGTGGTTGATAGCATGAATAAAAATCCACGCCTGGATTGCATGATGACGCACAATCACTCAGGTGACACACTGTAACCACCAGATGTTCATTAAGTTTCTGACACCCATAGTATATATTGTAGCAAAACAAATAAAAGCGACAAAACCCTATGTATAACCATACGAATTCTCTATTCAAAGTAATGACCATTGTGATATGGTTATGAATAACTAGTGATGATGACAGTTGTTCCCGATGTGATCGTATTTGTTCCACCAATGACACCCGTCACAAACACGTGCAATGGAAAGTCAATGGTTGAGCTGAATTGTTTCGGAAATGTCTTCCATAAGTCTATCATAAACATTTTAAAAGCTGTACTTAGGCCTTGAATGTTGTAACCCTGATGTGCAGGAGTATGAACCTGTATTCAATCCTCAAACGAAGGAGATGGACTAGCTTCTGTAAAGCGTGTACTAAAGGTAAAACAGGACATGTGTTCCCTTTACGCGAACACCTTGTGTCATCTCTGACTCAGTATGATAATTTCAAATAAGTTTCACTTTTTGCCTTTTGCGCTTTATGGAATATGTCCGTAATCCAGACTGGTTATTTCCTGGTATTAACGTTTTCTTATTCACCAAGCTTTTAATAAGTGAATACGAATTTACACTAGTCAGAGGGGTACTCAAAGTACGTGATCTAGACCACCAGTTGTCGGACTTTAATTTCTTGTGGAAGCCTCGGTGGCTGAGTGGGTTAGATCGCTGACGTTTTGTGCTGGCGATTAGGTGCCTCACTCTGGCAAGTGTGGGTTCGAATCCCGGACGGGACTCAACCCAAAAAAGTACGAGAATCTGTACTTTACTAGGAAAGTGTTATCCCAAATATAACATTTGTTACTTTTAATAAGTGTCAAGAGTTTTCAGATTCCTTGCGCTTTTTTTATATATGATATTTCTACTCAGAATTGTATATGGTAACTCTGGAAGTGTTTCTGCTTGTTTTCAGTGCCACTAGTGCCACCCAGAAGTGTCTGGTGTCGGCAGTGAGCGGCTGCGGCAAGACGACTGTCAGCATGTACGAAGACCTCCTGCGTAGCCAATCCCCGTCTATGTGTCTGACCGCTGGGTCAGTCGTAATTGGCTGATGTAGATTATCAGTTACAGCTTCACGTAGCTTAAAGGGAGATTAAATATGTTCAAATATCTACATCAAAGTTGTTTTATGGTTTGTTATTCCTGGTTTGTCCAGGTATTATGCAAACCTATGTTATTGACAGTGTATTTAGAAGTGTAATATTTCTGAGGATAGAAATCAAAGAACATACCCGAGAGTTATATATTATAAATAATTATTGGCTGTTGTTTGACTTAAGATAACCACAGAACAAGAGTTCAATCTCTGATCGGGTTCTGTGCTAGCTGATAACACAATAAAATATTAATATGAGGTTTGTAAATAAAGCGACAGAACCCTTTCCATATCCAATAGAACTTTCTGCTTAAAGCAGAGTCGATTATACAAATCCGATCATATCATGAGCATGTGTTTATGAATCACTATAAAATAGTAATGATACCAGGTGTTCGCGATAAGGTGAGCATATCCTGCCCCACCGGTGGCACCCGTCACAAACACATGCAAAGGCAACTCAATTTGTAAGTTCGATCTGAATGTATTATGACGTCACAGATCGAAAATGCCGTGAAAGCCCCTTGACCCGTTGGGAAATTTGTATGTGTTGAGTTTGTAACGTATTTTAAGAAACTAAAAGAAAATAGTACAAAAGAAAGTCCACATTTAGGTTGTTTGCCAGCCCGGCTCTTGGGGATGGGTGTGGTCGTCCTTCCCCCTTCACACAGGGGGCGGGGACCTGGGATGACAGCAGGTGCTTGTACAGTTCGGCCGTGCTTGGACCACAGGATTCCACAGAGGCTTTCATGCAGTCGGTGAAGGTTTGGATGATACTGTTGGGTACAAAAAAAAGGAAATTGGTTCATACACTTTCAACACATTGCTCCATGTTCCAATCTCGGGTCCAGGTGAAGTTCCCGGTTAGAATTTGGGCTTTTCGTAAGACTATGGGGGTCTGGTTGTTAGGCTCGCTGCCTTGGTTGTCGCATGCCATCGTATCCTAATTGCGTAAATCGATTCTCATGATGTCAATCACTGGCTTGTCAATGTCGTGACGTTAAAGGAGATGGTACGTACATCAGAAATATACACATTTATGTTACTCCGAAATCAGCTGTAACTCAATGTACATTCTCTTGCCAAATACCCTGAGTTCTGTCTGATTGTTGACAACTTTTGTTATATCACTTGCCAGGGGATAGATCCAAGAACAGGTATTACGGCAGCTCGGTGGTTTACGACGACACACTATAGCTGCCAGAATCCGGTCGTTGTGTGTTCGAATCCCGGGTTTGAAAGCATTAGGAACGGGACACGGAGCACTGTTATACATTTATATTTAAGTTATAGAGTCTGGCCACCCTTTAGGACAATAGAGGACCAATCTTACAATGGAATCCCCACGGGTCTGTTTTATCGAAGCACTAACAGTACATTATTTACCATATTCACATAACTACAAAGCAGTAAGAAAACGTACAACTTAAAAATGTTATCCATAGAGTTGTTCGATTACTTCTTTCACACCAACTTCTAGAATGCCAATCAAACAGCTACAAAGCTGCACATGTTTTAATAATGCAATGATCAGACATATCCTCAATCAACATGTTATCTATCTACCTGCATATTTGCTCGGGCGTGCTGGAATTAACCATCCTTTTCTCACAGGTGCTCTGGTCGGCGTTCATCACACAACCGGAGGCAAAATCTAGAAAAACAACATACGATAAACTCTAACTCAGGGTCCAAATCTATGTCATTATTGTTCAATCAATTTTAAAAGTTTATTACCTTGATTGAAATGTCTTTCTTAAAGAAATATACAAACTAAAATCTGAACAACTGAAAGTTGAGCTACCATATGAAAAGTGCCACTGCACTGTAGCTCACCTGGATATGTAATTCATGATGCCAACAAAGACAGACTCTTAACAAAAATTAGTTTTCAATATTTTCTGCTTAAATTCTAAACTCTGCATAAATAATGATTTAAACAGAATCCTAAGGAAAAAAGTGTATGTCAAAGATGAGCTACCTGCCTGGCGATTTTAGAAGAGACGAAGTTTACGGAGCCAGATATGAATTTTGAGAGATTTTAAGGGCATGGTAAAAACAAGGTCAACATATGAACTATTGCAGGACACCACAAACTAAACAATTACAACATTTCATTACATTTTGTACAAAAATGACCGAGTAATGGCCGTGAATAGTTTTTTCAATATGGTTGCTTTGCCCTGCTCTACCGGTAGCATCCGCCACTGACACGATTTGCAAAAGAATGTGCTTCCCTTATGGTATCTCACACTTGCCGTATTATCATTTTTTCATGTCAATGATACATGTGTTCAAAATACTAATTCTGAAAAAGACAATCAGCGACACAAGAGAAAGGAGAAAAGTTGTGCATCGTCAGCAAAAAATGTCTCAGAAATGTCATATATTGCTAGTGTGCAACCAAAGCAAAAGTTGAAAGAAAATATAATTCAAAAGGTCAACGCGAGAGAATAACCAGTCTCGAATATCTACCGAAGCATATCTAAATATTCATGCCAAAACAATGAACATTTGTGTTTTAGCTTTTGTATTACACCTACTATCAAAATCCTTGTGTTCGCAAAATGAGGTCATTCCGAGAGAGGTAGAATTGGGGTCAGCAAACAGGTGTCGCTTGGACGGACTGCACCGGGTCAGGACAGCAAGGGTACAGCTGACAGCGTTATGGAAGACGGACATGTTGCTGAGAGACGAATAAACAATGTTACATGAGAAACCGTGAACAGAATGCCCCCACACGCACTCACACGCACGCACGCACGCACGCGGATTAAGAAAATGTCGTTCATTACGAACCCACTGTGTTATTCGAGTATAATTATTTTGTATTTTCAACATGACAATGTGACTTTTACCTGCACATGTCTCTATATCGGGACACTGTGAGACGTTTTTGTATGTAATCCGTTGTTTCTTCCGGTGATGACAACTGAGGCACTTCAAGGTAAATACCATGGCACAATAAGCAGTCAAGAGCTCCGTCCTGTATCCCTTTAGTCGTTGAACAGTCCACGCGGTGCGTATGTCCATTTGAGAGTTCAACTGTTGTATCTGTGGTCATAGATCGCAAGGAATAATTATTCAAATGCTACAAATGTAACCTTCACAAATACCGACAAAACGCCGCGAGTTTGCTTCATCTATCCCGAGAAGGGGGTGCCTAAGTGTCCTATCCCTAAATATCACTATGATGTTTTATATAAGGCAGTTTATGCATTTCATATTGTTTTCTGTTAGAATGTAAACTTAAGTAACCGTGTATTGATATTTTATGGACGTTTTATTTGCACTATTTTATGTTCACAGAAAAGTATGAAGAAAGTGTATCTCAGCCTGAATATGAAGAACATTTAGTGTACAGGAAGAATGAAAATGGAGAGGAAACTGAACAGAATAAAAAAATTGAACGACAGCAAGAATGTGTGCAGAATGAAGTCCAACAACATGGTAACAGAGAACAGGAAACGAGAAGATATCCCAGGAGAGAGACCACCAGGCCCAAGTACCTGCAGGATTACGTCACAGGGTCTGACTTGTCAGGATCTGAGACGGAAGATAGTTCAATGTATACTGTGGATTACTGTTACAAGGTGGCTGGTATTCCTGGATCATATTCTGCAGCAATGTCTTCATGTGATGCACCCAAGTGACAGAAGGCAATGCGTGAAGAGATGGACGCTCTGAAAGAAAATGAGACATTTGAAATCACCACATTACCAGAAGGTAGATCTACAATGGGGGGAAGATGGGTGTTTGCTGTGAAATCTTGCCCCGATTCTGAGAAATACAAGGCAAGGTATGCTGCAAAGGGATACTCACAGGTGCCTGATATCGACTATAAAGAGACTTTTGCCCCAACTGCTAAAATGACGTCAATTCGGACTCTGATACAACTTGCAGTTCAGAAAGATATGGTGGTTCATCAGATGGATGTGAAGACAGCATACTTGAACGCACCCATAGACTGTGAGATATATGTGCAGCAACCGGAAGGTTTTGAAGATAAGCCACAGACTGGGGAGAAACTTGTTTGGAAGTTGAAGAAATCCCTGTACGGCCTAAAACAAAGTGGAAGGAATTGGAATTCCTTACTTCACACGTTCCTGGTTGAAGATCTTAATTTGAACCAATCACTTGCTGACCCTTGTGTGTACCACGGAACGACTGAAGATTCATTCGTAATTATGGTAGTGTGGGTCGATGACATCATCATTTGTGCTGAGAAGACGGACATACTTCATGGGATAAAAGATTCTTTGTGTCAGCGATTCAAGATGAAGGACTTTGGGAAGCTGTCATGGTTTCTGGGAATAGAGTTCAAGTGGAAGAACAACAGTGTTGAAATGAACCAGAAAAGACATATTGAGAAGATGCTGGTGAAGTTCAACATGATGGACTGTAAACCCAAGACAACTCCATGTGATCCCGGCGCTGACAAAGAAAGGGAGACAACTGCAATTGAACTGGGCGATCCCAGACTCTACAGAGTGATTGTTGGAAGTCTGATCTATATTATGACTGCTACGAGACCATGAATGTGTTACGGACTACGTAATTCGAGCAGAAACTGCATCGACTTCGTTGAAACTTGCAGGAGAGACAATCAGTGACAGTTTATTGATAGCCATGGTTCTAAAAGGACTCCCTCCCTCTTTCAAGACGTTTTCAACTGTGATCACGCAGAAGGAGAAGCAAGTGACGTTTGTCGAGTTCAAAACGGCTCTTAGAAGCTATGAAGAAACGGAAAAGATTCAACCTACACCGAATTATGAAAACAGTGTCATGAACTTTAAATGTTTCTCATGTGGGAAGCCAGGACACAGGGCATCGGAGTGTAGAAGTAGAAATCAAGGTTATGATTGTGGTGAAAAGAAAGGTTACCGTGGACATCAGAAACAAGACGATTATCATAGTGTACTGAAGAAACACGCATCAAGTTACAGTGGACAGAAGAGATTGGGTAGATGGTGTGATGTTTGCAAGAACTCTTCCCATGACACCAGGGTCTGTCGTAGACGAGACTCTGCCAAGACTGCCTGTGATAAAGAAGAACAAGAACATTCGTACTACATATTCAAGGTCAGTGTTGATCACGTTGCCAGTGTAAGTGAGGACAGTGTGAATACTCTACTCGTGGACTGTGGGGCAACCGCCCATATCATTACTGACAAGTCCAAGTTCTTGACATTTGATGACAAAACACAAGATCATTGCATCGAATTCGCTGATGGAAGCAGAACGAATGGTATTGTACAAGGAAGAGGGAGTGCTGACGTCCTGTTGTGTGATGTAAGAAACCGGCAACAACGTATTGTGTTGGAGAATGCTTTGTATGTGCCATCCTTCAACCAAGACTTTTTTTCAGTGCAAGCAGCTACAAGTAAAGGCGCATCAGTTCATTTCAGTCCAGAGAGTGCAAATGTCAAGACTCCAGATGGTACAACGTTTGACATCCACAAGCATGGAAAGCTGTACTTCTTGCACAATACTGCTCCATCCAAGTGTGTTGTGCATTCAGCCAACGACTGGCACAGAATCCTTGGACATTGTAATATGAAAGATGTGATGAAGCTTGAGAATATTGTAAAGGGAATGAAG